ATCATATCGCATCAACGATTAAAAGGTGCAAATATTCTCTTTATTTCCGTTTTAAAGCTTTGTGTTCTGTGAAAACATCCGTCTCTTAGGCGTGGCTTTTAACTCACTGTGTGTATCTGTCTGTGTTAATCTCCATGTCCTTGTCTTTGTCAGTGCTCTTTCTTAATATGTCTGGTTTGTCTGCCCTGCAACAGCCTGCAGCGAGCAGCAGGGCCAGCCAGGGAATCACTAAGCTATTGGTTTAATGATGCCAGCTCCTACTTTACAGGGATTTACATGTCTGTGTCTCTAAACCCTGTCCACACACACGAACATGCATAAAAAAACATTATTGGGTATGATAGACGGCTAGACACAAACACATTCAGATTGTGAAGTGCGGGCAATGTCCTTCCCAGCCACTGATTGCATCTACAAACTCTATCATTTTCTTTGTCAAACCGATTGCAAAGGTCAAACATACCTGCAGACAAAACACATTTGTGCCAAACATTTAGAAGAATTAGCAGCAGAATCAGACAGATGGAAACACACGCACACAAACACACACAGGCGTATTCACAGTCTTCCTGTTAGGTTTGTATAAATGGTGAAACGAGTACAATGGGGGCAGGATCATTGAGACTAATGATACAGCTCATGTCTGAGGCCTGTGTTTTCCTGGGTGGAGAGAAGACATTAAATAGCAGCGTGAGTGGCTGTGACTAAATGACAATGCAGCAGGCTGGAAAAAAGTACATGGCTGGAGGAGAAGGAGCATACAAGTGGAGGAGGAGGGAAGGGAAAAACTGAGGAAGGGGAGCGAGAAAAGAAAAGAAAGGCTGTTATGGTTTCATGCAGTCACATGTTAGGTGCTTTTCGTCTGTCTAGCGGATACATTTTTGGGAAAAACAAGTGCACGAGAACATAGTGGGAAGTGGATGAGGAGGAGCCAAAATATTTAAATCCTGTCTGGGTTTCAAGTAGACCATGGACCTCTTAATCTCATCCACTTGACAAACATACACACTGGGCCAGGCAGACGTCTAGCTAGCCTATTTTCATGTGACCTGAATTCCCCAGTGTGGCATTTCTTTCCCTGCAAGGCTAATCTCATTAAGCTGGGTGCAGAGCTAAAGAACAAACACACTCTGCATCCCTTACTCCCACTCTGCCTTCCTCTCCTCCTTTTGTCTCCTCCTCATTGCATTCACTTTCTCCATCAAGCCCCCCTATTCACTTCTTCTATGCCTCCATTTGTGTTGCTGTCTTCCTTCCTCTACCTCCTCTTCCTCCCACTCGTATCTGTCGCTGCTTTCTGTCTAATTACAGCCTGCCACAGCAGAACCGAGTGGAGCCGCTCTAGCTAGGCAAAGGAGTCGAGCCCAGAGAGCCAGCTCTGCTTCCAGACGCACAATCAATCCTCATTATAGCCGGCTCTCCTGCCTCCACTTGCCTCTTCACGTCTGCCTGTTAAAGTGCCGCACATCTTCGTCCGACGGCCTGCGGAAATCGATGCAGTACATTATCGCATCAGTGTGGCAAGCCTGATTCATGGTCGACGCACAAGAGAATACAGTTATTTATAATCATCCTTATCCCCCTGGCTACTTTAAGGAGGTGAATTTGAATGAGAGTGTGCGTAGTATGCTTATGTGTGGCTCTAGCAAAGAAAAAAAAGGCCACACGGTAAGCAAAGTTATTTATAAGATAAGGAGTTCATTCCAAAGCAGGGCACCAAAGACGTAATGTAAAATGCAACCACATGCAGTTCTGTTGCAGATGGTTAGCCCAGATTGAAGCTGGAATCTCATCTTCCAATCAGCTTGTTGTTGCAGTCTGGCTGAGCTGCTGTTTTGAATCTGGTCTTAGCTGGTATTAGCAAATTCTTGGTCAAAACAGGTCGCCATCAGAACAATGATGTTTGTCAGGAACATGAATCCTTAAGGATAAGTCTCATAAAAGAGAACATAAAGTCTTATGGTCTTTTGTATGAAAGTTGTCTCACAGTGCATAGGAAACTAGCTTTTTAACCATAAAGCTTTACTGATTTATACATCTACACATTAAAGATTAAACTGGCTTGCTCAGCACCTCATTCTCATATTTTACAGGAGTTTCAATACTTCCAAGGGAATACACTTCTCTCATTTCAAGCCTGAAATTGAGGCAGGATGTAACCCCAGAGGAAGTTGCTGATGAGTACTGTCTAAGGCGAGGTTTCCTGTAAAGCATAGATAGATGTAAAGTTTGGTCTTTAGTGGTCAATTACGTTTTTTAAGAATGTATTTATGGATTTCACAATCATGCAGTTATAAAATAAAAGAGTTGTACAGTTGTTGTTGTTTTGTTATATATTTTGCCCGTTTTGAGCAATAGCCACAACTTAATCGATATAACACAGATATTGCATTTTTTTGGAATAACTGAAGAGTAGTATTGTGTTAATGTGTGTGTTTGTGTGTGTGTTTGTGCGTAAGTTGATGTCCACACACTGCAGGAAAGCTATGCATCAGCGCTGAACTATCACCGCGTAGAGGCAGGGTAAAGAGGCAGTCATGTATAATTGCTCTTTAAATATATTTGTTTTATAGAAAACATCATGTCCTCTTGTGAGGGGACTCTAATGTAGGAAGGCAAAACAAAGATATGTATTTTTGAGTAATACATTTGCCTTTATTGCAATGACAAGTCAAAATGTCGTCTGTGAAAAAGCTGTTGAATACACAAACATTGTTGTCCAGTCCATTCTAACGAGAGCACTCATTGTGTATGGCAAATAACTTTAAAAAAGTGCCTCCATAATACATTTTGGTGCCCACCATTGGTTCATAGACTTCCCTATGAAGTACTTGTATTGCGTTTAGTTTTACATTATGCATTAGATACAGTAGGCCGGATTATTACAGATGCGTTGATATTAGGGTAAACAGAAATGCCCAAATACAGTATCTTGAGGAAAGAATTCAACCATTTGAAGTCGATTTTTCAAATGTAAAGTCGCCTGTTCAGGGTATATCTAGGGTAGTAGTCTTAAGGCAGTCATGTAAACATTTTTTTAACTTTATGTAAAAGGGGGATTTGGTTTAAATATCGTCATCAGATTAACTCGGAAGCATACACTCGCCCATGCTATTCCTGGTAATCGTATAGACGCAGGGTCAGGGTTAGAGAATATTTTCCGTGTGTGTTACAGTGTTGGTCCTTCTACCATCGGACTTACTTGTTAGTGCACCGTGGCATTAGGCTAAGCTACTTTGAATGTTCTTGACTCCTGCATTCTCTTAGTCTGTATTTTTGTCTCAGCTTTGGCTTAGCTGTTGTGCTTTTGCTTTGTACGGCCAACATAGATATACAGTTTATAGATTAGATAAATCTCAGGTCAAAAAAGCTTCAAAGCAGTTAGTGGCCAAGTTTTAAATGCTGTTAACTCTTGTAGGGCAATCATATTTATTTGCTTTCCTTTTGGCAAATGAATAACAACAAACCATGCCTACATTCATTTTGCCAGCAGTGTTTGTTTTCATTATGATGAAGCGTGTTACTATTCATTGTTTTGTATTTTTTAGATTGGTTTGCATCATCTAGGGAGCTTATCTATAATGCCATCAGTACATGGCAGTGCTTGTCCCGCCTTTGTCACAACCCGGGAAATCATACATCATCTCTTGAGCTCTATTCGCCAATTCATTGCTACGAGGTTTTATCTTTTTAAAGATTATTCATTTTCCCACAGTCTCTCAGCCGTTTCCTCTCTACCCCACAATGGACAAAGCCGTGCAGGACGTTATCTCGTCATGGTGGCGTCTGTCTATCTGTCTGTCTGTCTGTCTGTCTGTGTAGACAGATTATTGTGAGCACAGTAACTAAAGAACAATGTATGAAAGAATCTCTGTTCTTAAACAGCAGGTTCCCCAAGTCAAGCAGATAGTTTGATTAGATTTTATCATGTTGCTTACATTTCCACAATACTCAGGAAACAGATTTCCTGGGAACTACCAACAATTCTTAGAGTAGTCATATAGGGCTGATGGTCAACTATTTTAAATGCTATAACTAGTGGTGCAATGGTTAAACAGCACTAACAGCGTTTTGAACTTCCCAAATGGGGGCTTACCTTATTGAATGGCTGTATTGGACTGCTTAAGATTGTTTAGGCACTAATAAACTGGTAACCCTAATGTATTTGTGGGATTTTTGCTTACACTACATTTATTTTAAGAGGACATCCGTCTATCTACATTTCTTCACAGATACACTGAGTTCCAAATAACCAAGATCTTGCCTGATTCTTAATCTACAAAGGGGCGGCACAATATAAGTAAATATTGCTATATGCATTTTCTTAAATACATATATAAATAAATCCGATATTTAAGTTTATTCTGTAATTCTGCTGCCTTGGATATACAGCTAAATTACATTGCTGGCTAAATAAATGCACAAAATATATAAATGATTTCCCCAAATATATTGGAAAATATTGCAAAGTTTCCAGTTGTTGTCCTTTACATGAGTGTGGTGTTGACAGTCTCATTTAACACAAAACATCAAGCTTTTTCTTTAAGAAAGCTATTATGCCTTAAATATATATTAAATATACATTTGAATACCAATTTGAAAACTTTGTGATGCTTTGTATCTGTATTTTCTTTATTATTATGATTATGTGTTGTATTTGTGTGATAAACTTTGTAAATAAGTTATCAACTTTCCCTCTGTTGTTCCCACACCTATCTGCTCCCAAACTGTCACCTGTCACTTACGGACGGTTGACTTTGCCCGAGGAGGAAACGCAGTGTGACATGACCTGATCTGTGACTCACAAGGTCACCTATCTCCCCACCCCCTAAGACATTGGCTGTCAACTTTTATCCTTCTCTTCCTCCTTGCCATTTCTTCCACCTCTCGTTCCCCCCTGCTGATCAATCTATCAGGAAGCAATCATTTAAAAACACCATTATAAGTGAAACCAGTGTAGTGGCAAACCAATTAACCTTTACATCCTCCTCTCCCCGCAGGCCCAGGACCTGAACGTGATTGAGGAGGTGATCCGCATGATGCTGGAAATCATCAACTCTTGCTTGAGCAACTCTCTACACCACAACCCCAACCTGGTGTACGCGCTGCTCTACAAGAGGGAGCTCTTTGAGCAGTTCAGGACACATCCATCCTTCCAGGACATCATGCAGAACCTGGACACGGTCAGTCCTAGTTTTCACTCAAAATGTCAGAAGTGAATTTGGAGAAGCTTGAGTGATATTTCTTCATGGCTGATTTGTGGTAATTATTCCATAGATCAAGGTTATACAGATTTTCCCTGAATGTCTCCGTCTGAAGGGAAAGTTTCAAAAAGCCCAGTAGCGCTGGAACATATGCGAACTGCTTCGTTAACATGGTGTACAGCGCGCTGAATCCTGTGAGATGAAGTAGTATTGATGAATTAATCAGTCCCCTTGTGTCGAGAGGCTGTCTGTCAAATATTCATTGAGTGTTGGGGAGGAAGAAACGGTGTGAGAGAAAGCTGTCATTCATGGTTGTCATAAAGAAGAGGAAAGGAAGCTTTGGTGTGTATGAGCATGTGTGTGAGGGATGGGGGATGCTGCATACATAGCCATGCAGGTTTTGCTGTTATCCATAAGTATGAGGGAAGCATGCTATCTCGAATCCCTCTGTTAAGTCAGCCTCCCTAAGGCTATCCTCCGAAGCCTTCCCTGCGCTTGCAAATCTGTGTGTGTGAGCATGAGATTCAGGATGAGGGGTTGCTTTTTTGCTCCTCTAAATTAACCCCATATGGGAGGCCTTCAGAGTTAATAAAGAGATTAGTATTAGATACACACACACACACACAAACAACACACACACACACACACACACACACATACACACACACACACACACACACACACACACACACACGCACACACAGAGGGCTCCCAGGGTGTGTTTGAATTCTCTAAAGCAATCACAGAGCAGAGAAAACATTGCCTGTAGATGCGTTTTTCACTGTTGGTTTGACAAAAAAAGGAGCATTAAAAAGAATCTGTAATACCTAGAGTTTTTTAATGATCAAATATCAAACATTTCTCAGGGGAAGAATCCAGCACAGCAGTGGAAACGTAAAAATACAGTTTCCTTGATCTCTTGTTTGGGCTTAAACCCAGAAGGCATCAGATAATGTGAGCTCCAGTGAAGTGTTCTTTTTAAGTGGGATGAAACACGCTCCAACCCTATGGTGAATTTGTTGAACAACTATAAATGTATATACTTTCTGAGTTTGTAGCCTTCAGGCATATTAGCCGATCGCATGTTCACAGCCTTTTGAATTTGGTTTGGAGGTTTTTCACTCTTTGAAAGCATCTTTTATGCAGTTTTATAGATCTGTTTACAATGATTCTTAATCAGTCTTGTCACTTAAATTTAAATATACATAGCTCTGCACCCCTGCATAGTATAGACGTATTTTTGTTGTTAGCTGTTGCAAAATCAGCTAAATGTTGTCTCAAATGAAACGGCTATGTATTTCTTACTAAGTTTCGAGTCTGTAACCGTGTTACTGTGTACAGACTGAAGCCCTCTACATGTCGCACAATGACACTTTGTTCTAACTAAGATCCCCACATTGCTCCCAGTGTCATCATATAGGGTGTGGCTGCTGCAACATCGATGTGACAGCTCTGAACAGCGGGATTATAAGTGTCAAAGAGCTTCATGGCGGAAACAGGATTGATATTAAGCCTCAATGAGATCAAAATGGCATGAGTTCCTGTGTGTTAAGAACCAGGAACAGGATTTAATGGTGAAGGATTTAGACTGGAAGTGGAGTGTAGATTTTTATAAATATATACCAGCGAAGATTCTTTTTAAACAAAAGAAAAAAAGAATAAACAAACAGACATTTATTTATTTTATTTTAATCGTTTATTTGGCAGGGACAATGCACAGTAATGAACACTTAAAACATTCAAATGTATCAAGCGTAACAGTGCCAGATTTAGCTTTCAGCTCATTTCCATCCGCAGTCCCTCACATAAAACATTTAAGAAGATTACATTTTACAAACATAGCAAAAACAAAATCCATGATATGCAAAAAGAGCAAGAGCAGCATACTCAAGTATTTACCACATGGCAGGACAATATAGCAGCAACGACATATAAAGTGCAAGAGAAGATACAAGTGCTACATAAAGTGCAAGAGGAGATACCCCTGTGTTAAAGTGCATTTAGCAGTGATCGCACGTCTGTTTGTTTCTCAACCATTCTTTGAGTTTACCTTTAAAACTATTGAGAGTGGGACAATCCCGTATCTCAGTTGGGAGGCTATTCCACAATGAGCTGCCTTTAACGGAGAGGACATTTTGTCCAAAAGTTGTCCGTCTACAGTGGACCTCACAGTCTCCTCTGGTTTCTGACCTAGTGCAGCGTCCAGTGTGTTTTCTGTGGATGAATTCCCCTAAGGGAGGGGGGGGGGGCAGTCCATGTAAACATTTATAAAAAAGCACATACTTTTAAAAGACTTTAAATTGTTTTTCAAGGATGGTACAGTGGTGGTATGAATATGGCTTTCTGTCAAACACCTTGATAGCTCTCTTGTACAGCTGTTCTATTGGTTTCAGGTTTGTGGCACAAGCAAACGACCAGTTTGTAAAACAGTATTCAATGTGAGACAGAATCATACAGTGGAGGTATGACGTTGCAGCATTGGCAGTTAAGAAAGGTCTAACTTGTTTAACATTTTGCAAGTTGAATTTTTAATAGTATTGGATACTTTCTTAATGTTTCTTAAAAGTCAAGTTCGAGTCCAATATGACTCCAAGATACTTGAACTGGGAGACTAGTTCTATTTATGTTTATTTATGTTATTTTACAGTTGATGTTTAACATAAATTGAGCAAATTGAGCTACTTTAAATATCTTTAAATACAAATGTAAAATGCTATTCAGCTATACATAAAACATTGGTACTGCAGTTAACAGCATCTAATTTCTGTTTTACTTCTGCACCAACATACACACAAATACCAATGTATCCATGATAACATTGACTTTCCAAAAACCAGAGTGTACAACAGTTGTGGTTAGAAATAGCTTTCCATTTCTAGGATTGAATGAAAGAAACAATGAGAAATGTTATCTTGAGTTTACCAGCTTCTAGTGTCCTTTAAAAACCTTGATAGAAGACGAAGAAACGTTTTTTAAAAGGAAATTTTTTAAAGCTCTATTTACAAATCATCACCTTTAGCCCAAATGTATTTTTGAAAAATGTTAATTCTGTATTGTAATTGGCTATTTCCTCTTGTGTGACCCTTTTAGGTGATAGGCTTCTTCAGTCAGCGTCTGGAGCTGGCTGGAAGTGACCTGTCAGTTGAGAGGGTTCAGGAAGTCATTATAAAAGGAGCCCAGGCCCTGCCCACAGACAGACTGAAGGTAAATCTCTCTCTGAGACACACACACACACACACACACACACACACACACACACACACACACACACACACACACACACACACACACACACACACACACACGCACACACGCAACACGCACACACACACACGACAGGGGGGGCCGATGAAATAAGCGAGCATGGAGACGAGGAACAATGAAATATGAGACTGGTTGAAGAAAAAAGAAGTGGGACATATTGGACATCAAGGTGAATGTGTTGTGGGTGCAATGTGTTGTCAAGGGCTGCGAGTTATGGCTGATTTGGTGGCGGGGAGGTGAGGAAAAGAGAATTAGTTTGTCTAGAAAGGTGAGAGAGGGAGAGGTATTGGAGGGAGATATGGGCTGAAGCGGGGAAACATGCAAAGAGCCATTGGGACATGAGACGAAAAAGGGCTAAAGCCCAATTCTCATAAGCATTAATGGCCATCTTCGCTCCATCTCTGCTGGCCTGCTACACACGAACACGAAATGGCAATTCAAGGGGATGGGATGGGGGGCTAGGGGGCACTTTGTCATGGGCATATCGGACTTGGGGAGGGAGTGGGGGGCTGAGGGGGGGACATAAATCTGCCTCTGCGCCTCGTTACCCAACACTCCCAACACTCCTGGCGGGTTGGCTAACCCCCGCCCTCCCAGTGCTCCTCCATTAATCAGTGAGGAAATATGTAACCAGCAGTCTCCCCACAACGCTCCTCACCAGCACCGAAGCTCTTAATTGCATGTTTCATCATGTGTTTCATGTTCTATACTTGGCGGCGGCCTGCAAGGCATTTGTCTCGCTAGCCTATGTGGAGGAGGAATGGTGAGCGGACACGCGTCCATGTGCTCTCTCTCTCTGTGTCTCAATCCCATTCGGCTCCTTGGAGCACTAATGTAGCAATCGACCAAAGAGCCGTAGAATTACACATTGAGCCATGTGGATAACCCCGCCGTGTCCTTCAGCGAGGAGGCTTTGCCTGTAGCACACACTCATGCTTTCAGCTGGACTGGGAATATGTGTGGTCGATGAGTAATAATAATCCTTTATTCATAGAGTTATTTTTTCAGAATCATAGTGATTCACAGTTACAGCACAAATAATAAGTCATCATGTTTTAAAGAAAACGGATAAAACAGAAAAGATAGGAAAAGAAAAACATTGATAAAAGAGAATTTAAAGACAATTCAAAGGAAATGTAAACTCATGTAAAATTGCAAAAGACTCTGTCATATCAGTATGTTGTATGAACTTAAAGGAGACCTCTTCTTTAGGATGTGAGCCTGCAATGTAATGGTGTATGTCGATTGTGCAGCCATCTGTGCCAGTTTTCTCTTTGTTTCTGTTGTGCACATTGACTCAGCGCCACCTGAGTGCTTTTCAGCTCTACAGGGTGACATGAAGCGAGGAGTATATCTGGGCAATGTCTCCTCGGGGAGTCCCTGCCGCCTTGATGGTACCATTGCTCAAACAAACAGCTGTCTCTCCACTTTTCGCTTCCCTTCATCTTATGTGCTCATTCTGCTATAAAGCTCCCAAAGAGAAAATCCATAGGCTGGATTAATGTTGTGTGGAATCATCGATGGTAGTTGAAGTTGGTAATTACTCAGTAAAAGCTCTGAGAAGGAGTATAGCTGTCTCAATCCGCTGTGTTTATGTCTGGCTGACAAGAAAGACATGTAAGGATGATTGTTCCTGTCTAAAAAAAAAAAAAAAGAAGAAAAACAAGTTGAGTCTGAGCATGTTGTTCTGCTGTGTTTTTCATTTATTTGTGAAGTTATTCCATCCTGAGGTCATGTTCACATTTATAGGAGCACAGTGCATGTCAATGACGGCTGTATTTACAAACGCGTAATCTGCTGTGTTGAAAATTGAATTCCTGAAGTTGTAGCCATGTCAACGCTAAGCTGGCTAAAGAAACGTGTTCCCTGTTTTGGCTTTCTGTCCTCCACAACCAAAACCTTCTTCAGAGGAAAGAAATGAAATGCCATAACCAATAATTCACCATTACCGAATACAAATATGAGGTCAAATCACAATGGAATTCTGTCAACACTTTTATACGCAACATTGCTAAAAAAAATATGTCTCCTAACATTTTAAAACTACTTTTTCACCTGGAAACAATTTGCATCTACTTTGGTGTTTCCAAATCTTTTAAGTAGAGGCCCTTGTTCCCATTGAATACAAAGATAGTGACATTTGTCCTCTTTTCAGATTAGAAACTGCATCACAGCAGACAGTTCAGCTGACCAAAAGCAGTTGTGATGGAAATGACTTTAATGCAGGTTAATGACAGCATCCATGTTTTATAATACCAACATTTAAATGGTTGATTGCATAGATGGTCTTAACTTTACTGTCACACAACAGATCGGTCAGTGTACTCCTGATCTCTGGGATGATCTACGTTTAATTGCAGGACAGCTGAATTCAAATATGAGTTGGTCTTTACATATATTTATGTTTCTGTGTCAGACTTTGGTGATTAGTTTCAAATACTTATATATAACAGCTTCTTGTAATTACTACCCGTTAACCAACAGTAATTCTGAAGCTACTGTGCTGCCATGATGAAGCCGTACAACAACAACAGCTGCTCTGTGTACTCGGATAGATCGCCTTTTTAAAGGTTAAAGGTTAAAGTTAGCGGCCACAGAAAATCCTTCCCAACTTTACTGCCCTGTGACCCTTGGCCCTCATTTCTTTTTATTTTGCAAAACTCTGTTTTGCCTGTACACATTTTATCGCCAAGTTAGCATTTTAAGGTGTATACACTCTGGAGACATTTTCTTTGCAAGAAAAAGTAATTATCGAGGGAAAAATACCTTAAATGTACCGCCTTAGTTCACTTCATTGTACAATGAAATAACGCTTAGAAAGTGTTCTTTCGTGTCAGATTAGATATTAGTTTGCAAACACAACCTGAGTGGTCATTTTTGCATAAAAACAGCATTTTCACATGGCTCCACCTTTGTGTGAACCCAACTTAAAAGGCTGCCTGGAAATGTGTTTGTTGTGAAGGGCAGACGCCGGTTAAAGTAAAGTTAAACATTTGCTTAGAAATACTGACAAAACAGACCCATGTTGTTTAAGGTGAGTAGAATAAAGCCTGTTTACCTAAAGGATCTTCAGCATTTACACAAAGAAGTAGACATGTAAATGAGGTCCCAACTGAAAGGAAGGGTTAGAAGGTAGTTAATACCTCAGGGATGACCCTCAGCACCTCGTCACTCAACTGCCCCTCTCTCTTTTGTGTGTTTGTGTGTTGTTTCAGGGTGTGTGAGGCTGAGTGGCTCTCATAGGCAGTGTCTCTGGAATGAGTTGTTTAGCCTGACCAGCTGAAATCTGCCTTATTGAGCAGTGATAGCCGACAGACTCTCTGGCTCCTCAGGAGGGGACAGGGGGCAGCTTACCAGCTGTTACTCTGTACCTGCCCCTTTGTAGGTCTGACGACTGGTCAGCGCTACTTTCCCACACATTGACAACATAATGAATATACATTTTCTTACTCTGAAGTCAGTCCTGGGTTCTAAAACGTTTTCAACTCAAATGTAGGGTGAACAAAACTTCTGCCCTGGAAGTAAGATTATTGTAACAATAATTACGTTTGTGTAATCCTAAGCTTTGCTCCTTTCAATATTAAATGCTTGAGAATGATTTCAGGATGTGAGTTCTTGCATCAACATTTCATAATGTAACAAATAGACAAGTCTAGCAACTTGAGTCCTGCAAGTCAAAAACAAATTAATTGTTTTGTCTGCAAAATCTTTACACGTTAACCTCTTTGAGGCGGCTATATAGACACAGTTCTAGTTACATGCTAATGGCAGCTTGTTCACAATGACCATTTTTACAATTAACTGGTCCCACTAAACACAACTTAAGCTGACACAAATTCCATTAGTTTTTAATGTATTTATTCCCATAACCCAGAGTATTGGACACATTTTACAAGGTAATCAGAGGACCACATCATTGCAAATCATGAAAGATGTACCAAATATCCTGACAATCCATCAAATATTTGTCTTGACATTTTACTCAAAGCCACAAATGTCAACCTCATGGTGGCACTAGAGTAAAAGTTAGGGATTCAAAACAAATAACTTATTAGGATTCGTCCTCTGGGGAACATAAATGTGATGGCCATTTGAAACTCTTGGGCCAACTGTTCTAGTTCAATTTTCTTTCATAGTAAATGCTAGGTTGAATTTTAATATGTTACAGTTCATTATATTATAACAAATATTGTAAATAATTCATTGTCTGCTTCAATATAAAACTAAAAGTGTCTACACATATTCAGGTGGATTTTTGTATCAAAGCCCTGTGGCCTGAAGTCACTTGAGTTAATATTTTTCATTTTGAAATATAACCTTTCAGTGCTGTAGCTGCATCTGAGTGTGTGTGTGTATATGTGTGCGTGTGTGTTTGCGTGAGTTCATATTTGCTCCCTAGCCGCATTCTTCTCTGTCTGACCGAGCTCTGACAGCACAGAGGCGGGACGGGAACACTGAGTCCTGAGTGAAGATATGAGGCCAGCCAGTCAGTCTGTGTTCAGGGGCGAGGGTCTGACCCGCCAGGACCCATAACTAACTGATATGAGCCCGGGCCAAGTGGACCCAGACAGAACAACACCGAGTGGAGGAGGGAGAGGAGGAAACAGAGCCAGAGGAGATATGTAATGAGAGGAAGCCACAGTGTAGACAGAATAAAGAAGGAGACATTATTAAGGGTGATATATGCTCAGATTCCCCCCCCCCCCCAGAAAAATCAGGAACACTTTTTCGTTGAGTCATTTAGTGATATCCAAGACTTCCCATTGCACCAAATTCCGTGGTGTTGGTTCTTTCCAATATTGAAGTAGGAGGAAAAATCTTGGCTATTAGGATTCATGGATCATTTATCTTTTTGTTTAATTTTGTGCTCAATATCTAGTGAAAATCATCCGGTGTGTGCCCATGGGGACCGTATATTCATGCCGTTTAGGTTCATAATT